AGAAATGGCCATTCCGGTCTCCCTTTGCTTTGTCGGATCCACTTCTTCAATGTATACCTAATTACTGTGAAATTTGCATATCGATGCTCGATGTTCATATATGTTCACATCTATTTTATCGAAATGTATAAAAATATTGTTTCTTGCACTGTTCTGGTAGCAACGTACGTCTTCTTAAATGTTATACTTGAAGAAAGGGACCTTTCAGTTTAGAAAATTGTTGTGATTATGAAATTTATTAAGACAGCAAAATGTGCATGTATTAGTGCCGCCTATGGAATTTACAATATGATCTACATCCGTCGAAAAACCGTATGAGTCCGACTCGATTTCTTCTTAATAGCATAGAGAACGATAGGGGTATGTTCGTATGGAAAGTATATAGCAAATGGTTTGGAAATCCTAAATGCAAAAGCAAATTCAGATCAGATTCAAAATTATTCCGAAATTCAGAAAAAAATTAAAACTGAAAGATATTCTTTCTACAAATACGAAATTTGAACAAGGGGGAATTTGCTACTCAGTTAGTACAAGAACGAATAGTCTTGATAATTTTTTTCTCTTTATGTTTATTTCTAAGAAGAATGGATGAAAAAGCACACGACTTAAGTGTTACTTTGTTACCGAGTGTAATCATAGCAAGCAGATGAAAGGTATGCATTCACCGATAATCAATATTACAACTCTATCTACGTACACCTTTCTAACTTAAAACAAGTTTCGGAACTTCAGTTACCATTTCCTGAGATAGACCACCTAGCGCACACTACAACTGCATTCTTTCCTAGGGGAATAGTGAGGGCTTTTCAACTTGCATGGCTGCAGACAGTGTGGCGTTTGATACGTGGGTGAAAGCCGACAGTCAAGGGCCCGCGTTTCTGGGCCGCAAACTGCCGAACGAAAATGCTATCGAGGTTATGATAGCACGTGCGTGCATTGTTACCGCAACGGGGTGAGGGAGGTAGGGTTTCAAAAAATGCCGACAGACCGACACCGAAATAAATTGCTTCTGGATGATGCAGCAGTAGAAAGTCACGGTGAGTTCTTTGGAGATGGAAATTCCGGCTGCGGCTACACACACACGTGCGTACGCATCGGTACTGCCGCCCCAACCGTCTGTCGGCAAAATCATTAATCACACTCGCTCTCTAGGTGGCAGACCAAGGCCGACTCCTACAATGGCGAACAGGAAGGGCAGCAAAACAAGTGTCTGAATACAAAGGTCTCTCTCGGCTGCGTAAGGCCAGTGGAGCGGATATTATACAGACTGTCGGCTCGAAGCCGGATGCCGAGTTTGGCGTACTGTCGAGGCAGGACGAGTGGCCCTGGTTCGCCCACACCACCACCGCCTAGCCCAGAAAACTGACTGACCTCCTATAAGGCCGCCAACTGGATCGGGGCGACGTTTTTTGTCTCGCATGTCAACATTTTTTGCCGCTGCGGAGCGTT